GATAAAATATGAACCTGAAATACTAGCCTAAACAGATTGGGTGTCTAAATACTGAAAAATTAGCCTGACAGGCCCTTATGCAGGTTCTTATATGCAAGCTTTTACTTACAATTAGGGTGGAAAATATACTTACTAGTAATTATTAGTTGATTTTGTTTACATCATAAGTATTTGTGATCAAAATCTTTTATAAACTAAATGTCTTAGGGGTGTTTACATGGAAGCAAGCCAGCCCAGTTACCTGAGCTAGGTGGCTTTGCCTAGCTAATTTCATCATGTAGCAGGCTGGCACCAAAACAAATCATCGCGAGAAACTGTCATGGTTATGACCGTCACAACTGTTCACAGAGGCATTAATTTATAAAATTATAGATCAAACATCTGTTGAGAAAGTCTTATTTACTACAATTAGTACAATATATTCGTATTGAGCGGCTTAGGCAAACCAACCAACCTAGGCGAGATCTGGGGCTCTGTCGGGCTTCACAAATTAAACAAGATCTTGCTTAGGCAAGCAAGCCTGGTTCTCATATACACACAATACGAATATTAGTATAAATTATCTAGCAACATTAGATCTCGGCCAAGCAAGCTACCTCAGGCACCCGAGCTGGCTTGCCTCCATATAAAAGGCATTTAAACTGTTATGTGTTTTGATCAAATTAAAATCTACTTTAACTTTGATCAGAGAAACTTTTTGATGTGTTTCTATTAAGTTTTAAGTGAGCACAAGTTGTCCATGAGCAGACAGTCAAAGACAGTAAAGCACTGCCACAGCCAAGTAGATTATCACTCTGACAATTGACAATAACACGTCTATATAAACAGCCATTCAAAAGTCCCAAACATGTTCACTCCAAATTGTTCATTATTTTTTCATCGACAACTCACTAGTCTCGAGTATCATATCTTTAGGCCTTTATAATTATATTATGGGTTTCAGTTTGTAAACAGAATAGATAAACAGTTCGTATATATTAACGATAGTGAAATAGCTAGTGTAATAAAGAAAATTTTATAGTCATTAAAACCTCGATTGATGGGCTTCAACAAGCGATTTCTCTGAAGGATCAACATTGCAGCTATGTTTGGAGCAATCTCCAATCCTTCTAGGATTCTTTTCTTGACAACCTTTGGTAGAAGCCTGAGGTTGCAGGTATATCATGGCCATTCATGGGCAGACGCAGAAATGGAATGCGCTCTCCATCGAGGAAAACAATAAAATAGATACACTTTGATACACTTTCGAAGCATCCCTGTTAGCGTAGTATCCTTTCCTACTCGTCATGTTGCCTCAATAACTCGTTATTTGACGGACTGTCGCTCAAAAAAGCTCAAAATATTTTGGAAACTTCTTGCTCCTTGGGCATTAAATTCACTTGCGTTATAAAAACAACGCGCGTGTTATTGCCAGAAATGAGACTGGACCGAGCACAAACAGAGGATGACAACTTCCTGTGTGTCCCCACATAAACAAATGTCCAGCACATGCGCAGATGCGACTGTAACCTACCTTTAGCAGCTGTTAATAGCGTGCGTGTGAAATGAACATTTATCCATACAAGGATTTGTTATTTTATTATATATTCTACCACCTCAAACTCAAATTATAGGCATATAGCAAATATTGTAGTTTAGAATAATGTGTGTTTACTTTGATGCACAGTTAAAATAATCAGTAAAATTACTTTATTTTGATACACTAATGTCTATTGATCTTATTATATTTCACAAGTACTAGTACCCAAAAATACAGCATTGAGTATTTTGGCCCAGTGCGACATCACAAATTATTATTGTCTCCCCATATGTCGCGTTTAAAGAAAATGAAAGCTTGTTGCTCGTTTAACGCCGGATTAACCACGTGCCAAATACGGCAAATGCCGTGGGCCTCGCGCTTTACTGTGCTACGCCCATTTTTACGAGAACACGGCCATTTTCTACTGGGATACACCCATTTTAGGTGCCTCGCGAATTTAGGGACCTCGCGCATTTAGGGCCCCTAGGCTTGGCAGTTCGCCCTAGCACGGCCCCGGGAAAATATGCAATACTCGTGTTCATATAATCCTTAGTTGCGTTGAGCTGTTATATTATGATCCTGTTTATACCCACCAATTGCGCCAGGCAGGCCATTATCTCGTTTATAATTGACGCAAATAAATTGAAATATTGAAAAAAATTATTTAACACTTTTGTGTGTCTTTAAATTCAATGGTTTTCATAAAAAGAAGAAAGGGGGAGGTTTGGGGGCCTCGCGCTAAAATTTGCCACGGGCCTCGCGCGACGTTAATCCGGCCCTGGTCACTTGTCGGTATAGTTCTTGCGGTTTTAATGCCAATTGACAAAGATCAAAAGAGAGCACTGATGACTCCCCCCGTCGGAGAAATACTGGCGCAGCCCAAACCAGCTCAGTGAAATATGGCGCCCCAGGGCCAATTATACCCTTGGGGCCCCGGTGAACCACAATTACCCCCCTCCGTCGACAAACTTTTTATCGCCTTGCAAATTTGTATTTGCCTGTCTTCCTTGAGCTGGGGTCGCGGAGAAAATTGCTCCCTTTGCCGCCTCCCTGCATGGGCGGCCCTGGCGCCTCCCTTGTCTTATCATAACTATCTACCCTAATTCAAGCTGATTGGCGCGGCTCGATGAATTAATTGCCGCTTTCAAACAGAGGTTTATTATTTTAAACCCCAGTCTAGAACCAGGGTACCTTTTGTCACTCTGAGGCCAGCGAAATAACCTCTTCCGCAACATGCACGTACGCGTCTACTATCGTCAAGAAACAATCAATACGTATAATCGTTGTGGTCTGTGGGATTTTAATTCAATAGTGTAAACCTTGCAGTTTTAGGGAAGCCTCACATATCGATTTTTCCACAAGAAACGTCATATGTTCGTTTTGGGGGTGGGAGAGGGGGGTTTACAGCTGTGACGTTTCTCTGTAAATATCATGGAAAAGTTCGATAGTTTTTTCGAATACCTGAACATTTCGGAATCAACTTTGCAGAGTATAAAAAAGAAAACAACTTGAAAGAAAACGACTATTCAAATATAAGGGCTGGTAAACTAAAAATAAAAACTCCTTATATGGATAAACATTATAAACGTTCATCTCACATGTACACGCACGCTAACAGCTGCTTAATAATTAACTTACGTATTTGTAAACATCAGTCGATAAATAAAATGGTACATTAATATGGACAAAATGGATCCAATCCTCTGAAAACAGCAGTTGTAGTTCCAATTCTTTTGGGGAATTTAGTAGCAAATATAATCCTTAAATAGCTCATCGATTTGTATATGTTAGCGCTATTAAAAGTCAAACGGCCGGGTCGTCGGGTCGTAGATCACGTTGAATAATGATCTGAAGTTATCATGCAACCGTCAACAATGTCTCAAAATACTGGATGTTTGATGATTTTTTTACAAATATACTGGGATTTCTGGACCACTTTTAAACTTAGCAAAGTGAAAAGTCCCCATTCAAGAATATGTTTTTTCTCAAAAGGTAAAATACTTAGAATACTTGATTAAATTGTTTACTTTGACGGTGTATAAATTAACAGCGTTTGACTTGCAAGACGTCAAAAACGGAAGATTTCAACGCGCTGTCGTTTATCGCGTATTCATTTGCCAAAAGAAGTATTTACGTCAATTGAAAGCTTCTTTATTAAAGAGCCAACTAGTAGAAGCATGATCGATTTGGAGCTTTATCGCATGGTGAAAATCGATTTTGTTAAGAGGGTATCGCAAAGGAAGTAAGATAGTGTGCTCCAAAACTACGATTATTTCTATTCCTAAAAGTAACTCAGATTTCCTGTAAGTCATGTACACAGTCCTTTGAATAACCGAAAACAAGATTTTTAGGGTTTTAGATCGATTAGAAACGGTTGTCGTCGTGAAATTTGTCGGTAAAATCAGCGCATATTTTCCCAGACAACATGGCGATTTAGGGTGGTCGTGTTAAAACGGCATTTTCTCAAAGTTAAAAAAGCATTTGACCTAAAAAAATATATGGTGCATTTTCCGATATAATAAGGTATATCTGGGAAAAATTTGAGCAAAATCGATTTTTCAGTCGTGGCCGCTTTATGTTTGATTTTTGTGGACATCCTCTCTTAAGCGCTGTATAAATCTTTATATATTATTATTATTATTATTATACTAATACTAATTATATATTACAAGAATACCTGTTTTCCATAAGTGCCGTGCTAATATATTAATATAAAAATCTAAAATTATTGACTAATGTATAAAGTTGCTGGAGTCTGACTTGAATTTACGTAATGAGTTAGACTGTCTCAACTCAACCGGAAGGGAGTTCCACAGCACAGAAACACTATAGCTAAAACTATTTTTCAGGTAATTTGTGCGTGGTTGAGCTAAAGCTAATTTTCTACTGGTGTCTCTCAATGTATAATTTGTTACGCTACTTCGATCAACAAACATTTCAGACAGGTAGTCTGGCACAAAACCATTAAGAGATTTATAGACCATTATAGCTTTGGCAATTTTTCGCTGACATTCAAGGTTTTTCCAGCTCAATTTTTCAATTAGATATTCAGCATTTGTATCATAACTAGATTAATTTTAAGTAAGTACTCTAGCGGCTCGATTTTGGAGTTTTTGCAGTTTATTCGAAAGAGTACTGCCGCAACTATCCCAGACAACGCAACAGTAATCGAAATACGGTTGAACTAAGCAATTGTAAATAAGTTGCATTGTGGAAGGTGGGACGAATGGCCTTATACGCTTTAATGCACCTATGCCAGAAGCGACTTTTTTGCATAATTTCTCGATATGAACATTCCAAGTCAAGTTCTCGTCTAAATCTACACCAAGTGACTTTGTGTGAGAAACTTGTTTAATCGATACGTCATTTATTGTCAGTGAAGGACTAGAGTTGAAAGTACTAATCCTTTGACGGGAGCAGATTAGCATAAATTCTGTTTTAGGTTGGTTTAAAGTAAGTTTGTTGGCTACTAACCACTCACTGACTTTAGCAAGATCTTCGTTGAAGTGATGATCAATGTCATCAATATCGTTACTTGCGTAAGTCAAATGAGTGTCATCTGCATACATGCGTGCACGTGAGTGAGAGAGGCAATTCGGGAGATCATTGATATAGATTAAGAATAAAAGTGGCCCCAGAATAGTTCCCTGGGGAACTCCGCAACGGAGTAAACGATTTGTCGAAAAATGACCATTAACGATACATTTTTGTTTCCGTTCACTGAGATATGATCTGAACCAGTTGCCAGCAACACCATTGATGCCATATGAATTTAGTTTTCCTAAAAGAATCTCGTGGTCTACGGTATCAAACGCCTTCTTGAGGTCGAGAAACAGGACAGCATTTATGTTTCCATGATCGATACTATAAGCCCAATCGTTAGTGGCCTCAAGAAGGGCGGTAAGAGTAGAATGTAGACCACGAAATCCCGACTGACAATTAGTTAACAGACCTCAGCATGAGGAACCTTGTTCTCAGCGTGAGGAACGTTGTCCTCAGCGTGAGGTACCTTGTCCTCAGCGTGAGGAACCTTGTACTCAGCTTGAAGAACCTTGTCCTCAGCGCGAGGAACCTTGTCCTCGGCGTGAAGAACCTTGTCGTCCGCGTGAAGAACCTTTTCCTCAGAATGAGGAACCTTGTCCTCAGCGTGAGGAACCTTGTCCTCAGCGTGACGAACCTTGTTCTAAGTTGAAGAGCCTTGACCTCAGCGTGAAGAACCTTGTCCTCAGCGTGAAGAACCTTGTTCTCAGCGTGAAGAACCTTGTCCTCAGAGTGAAGAACCTTGTCCTCAGCGTGAAGAACCTTGTCCTCAGAGTGAAGAACCTTGTCCTCAGCGTGGGAACCTTGTCCTCAGCGTGAGAAACTTTGTTCTCAGCCTGACGTTCCTTGTCCTCAGCGTGAAGAAACTTGTCCTCAGCGTGAGGAAGCTTGTCCTCGGCGTGAAGAACCTTGTCCTCAGCGCGAAGAACCTTGTCCTCAGCGTGAAGAACCTTGTCCTCAGCGTGAAGAACCTTGTCCTCAGCGTTAAGCACCTTGTCCTCAGCTTGGGAACATTGTCCTCAGCGTGAAGAACCTTGTCCTCAGCGTGAAGATCCTTGACCTCAGCGTGAGGAAACTTGTCCTCAGCGTGAAGTACCTTGTCCTCAGCGCCAGAAACCTTGTCCTCGGCGTGAAGGACCTTGTCGTCCGCGTGAAGAACCTTGTCCACAGCATGAGGAACATTGTCCTCAACGTGAGGAACCTTGTCCTCAGCGTGAGGAACCTTGTTCTAAGTTGAATAACCCTGTCCTCAGCTTGAAGAACCTTGTCCTCAGCGTGAGGAACCTTGTCCTCATCGTGAAGAACCTTGTCCTCAGCGTAAAGAACCTTCTCCTCAGCATGTAGAACCTTGTCCTCAACGTCAAGAACCTTGTCCTCAGCGAGGGAACCTTGTCCTCAGCGTGAGGAACCTTGTTCTCAAGCTGAAGTTCCTTGTCCTCCGCGTGAAGAACCTTGTCCTCAGCGTGAAGAACCTTGTCCTCAGCGTGAGGAATCTTGTCCTCAGCGTGAGGAACCTTGTCCTCGGCGTGAAGAACCTTGTCCTCAGCGTGAAGTACCTTGTCCTCAGCGTGGGAGCCTTGTCCTCAGCGTGAAAAACCTTGTTCTCAGCATGCGGAACCTTGTTCTCAGCGTGAGGAACTTTTTCTTTAGCGTCAGGTACCTTGTCCTCAGTGTGAGGGACCTTGTCCTCAGCTTTAAGAACCTTGTCCTCAGCGTGAGCAACCTTGTCCACGGCGTGAAGAACCTTGTTCTCAGCGTGAAGAACCCTGTCCTCAGCGTGAGAAGCCTTGTCTTCAGCGTGAAGAACCTTGTCCTCACCGTGAAGAACCTTGTCCTCATCGTGAAGAACCTTGTCCTGAGCGTGAAGAACCTTGTCCTCATGGTGAAGAATCTTCTCCTCAGCGTGAAGAACCCTGTCCTCAGCGTGGGAACCTTGTCCTCACTGTGAAGAACCTTGTTCTCAGCATGCGGACCTTGTTCTCAGCGTGAGGAACTTTTATTTGCGTGAGGTACCTTGTCCTCAGTGTGAGGAACCTGGTCCTCAGCTTGAAGAACCTTGTCCTGATCGTGAGGAACCTTGTCCTCGGCGTGAAGAACCTTCTCCTCAGGGCGAAGAACCTTGTCCTCAGCGTGAAGTACCTTGTTCTCAGCGTGAGGAACCCCGTCCTCAGCGTGAGGAACCTTGTTGTAAGTTGATGAACCTTGTCCTAAGCGTGAAGAACCTTGTCCGCAGCGTGAGGAACCTTGTCCGCAGCGTGAAGAACCTTGTCCTCATCGTGAAGAACCTTGTCCTGAGCGTGAGGAACCTTGTCCTCAGGGTGAAGAACTTTGTCCTCAGCGTGAAGAACCTTGTCCTCAGCGTGGGAACCTTGTCCAAACCGTGAGGAACCTTGTTCTCAGCATGCGGAATCTTGTTCTCAGCGTGAGGAACTTTTCCTTAGCGTGAGGTACCTTGTCCTCAGTGTGAGGAACATTGTCCTCAGCTTGAAGAACCTTGTCCTCAGCGTGAGGAACCTTGTCCTCGCAGTGAAGAACCTTGTCCTCAGCGCGAAGAACCTTGTCCTCAGCGTGAAGAACCTTGTACTCAGCGTGAGGAACCTTGTCCTCGGCATGAAGAATCTTGTCCTCAGCGTGAAGAACTTTGTTTTCAGCGGGAATATCCTTGTCCTCAGCGTGAAGAACCTTGTCCTCAGCTTGAAGAACCTTGTCCTCAGCGTGAGGAATCTTGTCCTCGGCGTGAAGAACCTTGTCCTCAGCGTGAAGAGCCTTTTCCTCAGCGTGAAGAACCTTCTCCTCAGCGTGAGGAACCTTGTCCTCAGCGTGATGAACCTTTTTCTAACTTGAGGAACCTTGTCCTCAGCGTGAAGAACCTTGCCCGCAGCGTGAGGAACCTTGTCCTCAGCGCGAAGAACCTTGTCCTCAGCGTGAA